TTAAGGTCAATGTTATTGTTGGTGTTCTAGCTCTCGTCGGATCGTTAATGTTCGATGGACTGTATTTGTTCAGGTTCTTGATCTGGATCGATGAGGTTCTTGCTCTTCTCGGGATCAGGATCGTAAATGAAACACTGACTACTAACCACTACCACCTTTACTGCTCAAAATGTTCCTACTTAAGTACTAAATTAACTCTCTCATCTAGTAGAGATGTCGGCGTGGAGGCGGTCGGCGCGGTACGCGGGGCGCGGGGGGCGGCGACTCCGTACGACGCTGTGTGCGGGGTGCGGGGAACAGCGACGCGGTCTCGGTTGGGGCGCGGGGCGCGGAGTATATGGCTCGGTGTCCGTAACAGTTATAGTTAAAAGTTATGGAACAAAAGTTGTTGTTTATGTTTCTGATACAGACCTACGATGTTGTTACTATTCTACAAATAACCATGTATACATGTCCATTTATTTTGATATTTTGACCTGACCTTTTAAAGGACTTCTCCAAAGTCATTAAGATAAGTAAGTACCTTTACTTTCAAACATAACTACAATTGTATATTGACATTAACCTGTAGTAATCCTACTTTCAATATTTTGTTTTGTCACGATGGCGGTAACCTATCAGTACCTAGTAGTACCCAGTATCGTGTCCTTGCGATAAACATTCAACATATCCTGAAAGAACAACTGTTTCGTTATAATTCGGTTGTCGGTGTAATGAAAATTCAAAAAAACTTTACGTTGGAAAAAATTAATTCGAATTTGTGATAGGTTACCCACAATGGCTTGACAGCGATGCTTAAAATTCGCTTATCTATTATGTGTGTTTGTCCCGTATGCATTCAATTGTTATTCAATTCGATGAAACTTAGATTTTTTGGGCGCAGGCGTAACAGCCCAAAAAAATCTGAAATATTAGATCCCATTGCTGAACAGCTATCTTCTTTTAAGGAAGATTAAGCCTTAGTCCACCAATTGGGTTGAGGGCTTCATGCGTTTGCAGTGGCATCGCATAATGCGATATCTGACATATTGTAATACTCTTACCTCAGTTGGTCAGGTAGAACTTTTGATTGTTAAGCAAGAAACAAAATATATGTGAATTGTTGCCTTTTATCTATCTTGCTGACTGTACCATTTCTTCAAAATCTGGAATACCAATCGAAATATCTTCAAAATTCATGGACAATCTTCTATGACGGTTTTCACCCATCGTCTCAGTTCTCCACTCTGTATAAAGTATGCTATTGTGAGCTGACACAGGATTACTATAAAGAATTCTAAAATGCGGCATTTTGAGCGCGGCTGGTGCGGACTTAACTGCGAGCAGCATTAAGAGAAGACCGAGTTCGTAAAATAGAATTACAGCCTTAAGAAAATCCCTCGTTCGTTATGACTACTTTAAATTAATATTACAATTAGTAGTGGCCTTGTGCGTTTGGTGAATCATTGGTTATTTACAATTCTAACGTCGCGATGACCTGCATTTCAGAAGTTCACAACTCTTAAAATACTTGTGTCCCCGATTAGGCCACCGTGGCGGATTATGGTGTAAACCCTTTCATTATTGATAATTATAATAATATTTTTTTAATGATACCCAGTGACGGGAAGAACAAGTAATGCGCCTGGTGATAAGCGACACGCCTGTATATAACAGTTGCAGTGTCACTCCGATCGTTAAATCGCAAAAATCAAAAGGGCATTGCCAATACATCCGTCACCCAGAGGCGTAAAGTTGGCAAGTCCCATGTGCCTGTAATTTCACCAGTACCCTTACCCTTCAAAACCGCGCTAACCGCTCACGCGATACATGCAGCCGTAGACGCATACCACACCTAGAGGTGCCGGTGATGGTTTTATACCGATTTATCAGATATCGAGTTATAACAGGTAAAAGAACTAATATTAATTGCTATTTCGGTAACTACTCTAGCAAACCATAAAGTTTTTAATGCCTGGGTCTGTCATTTAAAGAAAAAAAACAACTTCAAAAATACCTCACGACAATCGTGTGTGTTATTGTTTGGGCTGGTGATTTCGGTGTTTATTTATTGAAAACATACCGTAAGTAGCGTTTTTTAAGTTTACCCTTTTTTTTCTTTTTTTTGACGGGGGGGAAATCTTTATGGAAACCCCTGAGCCCAGGGAGACTCAGGAGTTATGTGGGGACTCTCCCTCCAGACTGGAGGGCCTACCCCACTAGAACCCCCCCGGGTTTCCCTCTCGCCGGTTGAATCGGCGCCGTGGGATCAGTGAACATTCACCACGACGCCGCCCGGCCGCCCTAGCTTACGCCAGGGCTCCCACGCCAACGGAGGGGCGAGTCGGTTGTCCTCCGACCCGCCCCCCAGACGAGTGAGGCCGTGCAATGCAGACTCCGGAGTCCCTGTTCAGAGCCCGCTGGTCTCACTAGGAGATCAGGCGAGCAGCGAACTGCCTTCGCCTTCTCCCCGTACGTCTGCGCCGGAGCAGGTGCGCGTCTGCCGCGTCCTCGCGGACCCGCTCCGCGTCCTCCTTTTGCGACATAACCTCTGCGCAATTTTAAGTTTACCCTGAATATAAATGTTTAACTTAAGATTTTTTTTTATTATAATATAATATTAATTATGGCTACCATCAGCGTGAGCTTATCAGAAAACTTATCTACGCTGGACTTTTCAGCAAACCTTGGGTACAAAATTTAAAACACCGTGATAATCCAAACGATATCAATCGGCCGCCGCCATGATACAATGCAATAGTCAGGTACTAGTGTGTTGCCAGTACAGCCCACACTGCCTCTGCCAACGCCATTAATGTGTACCAAACAGTTACTATATGGAGAAGCTTCTTTCTACATTAATATTGTTAAAAATAAAAAAACATTAATATTATTATTATTTAAATATTTCATTTACACCGTAATATGTTTCGTCTTTCACCCACTGTTTTAATAAAGACTTAAACTTATTTTATGGCTGTAATTTTAATGAATCAGACAAACTATTTGATACACATTGCTTCTACTACTCATCAAGTGGCATTCGTGGTATAGTGCCCATTATCAGTCTGTTTTGGTGATGTATAGATAGATCTTTTAACTGAGAAACAATAAGGCTACCTCAAGGGCTACCTGCTCTTTGCTAAGAGAATACAATTTTGTCATAGAAACTCACATCCTTAACTCGTAAAAGGTGATTTTCAAAAATTTTTACCACACATTTATTTTATTAAATCAAAATACGAATTTCCACGTCTCTAATATTACTTACAATTTTCGTACAACTCTTATCACTTTATATACTCATATTTTTGTGTTCATCGTTCACATGACAAAAGCAATCTTTTGTTCAGATTTCATATCCAGCTTCAGTGGTTTCCGCTTTACCGCGGTTGCATTCAAAATGTGTGTAACAAAAAGGAAATCATCTTTCTTGTTAATTTTACACCTCATAACAGTAGTAGTAAAGAAATTGTTTCCCTTTCACACAATAAAAAAATTAAATAATTAATGACGTCATTCGACGAGATTGATCTGTCAGTAATGGAGGCCTTGAAGTTTTTCCTTATATTCAATAATAATTATTAGTACCAGTAGAGCTCCTTGTGAAAGAGTTCATCCAGGAAGGTAGAAGTTCTGGTGTCAAAAGGTAAGGGTTTTGGTGAAATTATAGGTAAATGAACTTTCAAACTTACGTGGCAGGTGGCAGGTTATGGACAGGCGTGTCACAGGTGTCAGTACTAACCTTACGTATTTCTGCCTTCAAGTAGTAATCTCAACGTTACTGTGTTCCGGTTTTGAAGGGTAAGGGGCTGGTGAAATTACAGGCACATGGGACTTATCAACTTATGTCTCAGTGTGACGGGCACAGTGGTAGTGCCCCTCGGATCTTTGCAATTTAAAGCTCTGAGTGGTACTGTAACAGGCGTATAGCTTACCATCAGGCGTAAGACTTGTTCGTCTCGTCGCTTGAGATTATAAAAAATAATAATAATAAAGGAAGATAAAAAGATTAGTACGTGTTATTTATCCAGATTTGCATAACACACATACTAAAAACGTCAGTTCAATGCACTTGCATTCGCGCACCCCGGAACGCGCGCCCCGTGCATTGCAACGTGACCGATGCAAAACTCGTCATTTTAATTATAATTATGAGCCACTTTTCGGCCCAACGTTCCTGACATCGGACGTAGACTAAATTCCTTTAGTTAAGATCTTTTTCGTATAAGTACTTTTAGACCTAACGTACCTAACTTCGGACGTTCTTAAAATTGTTTAGTTTAAGAAATACCTTTGTGGAAATTTAATATAGTTATTCATCATATTTTCTCGTCTTTACTTCATCTCCACTGCGCCCTATATAATTTACGGAAGAAAAGATAAATGAATATAATTTTTAACATTAATTAAAGGTAAGAAATTTCATCGGGGACCGCACCGTGGGACATCATACCCAATACCAGCTGCCAATCTATTGGCTACCGGAGGCTTTAACTAAATGAATTTAAAAAAACTCCTTATCGAGTTTCGCATGAGACGCCTAAGAATAAAGAGCTTACACTGCCAAACGTGGACTGAGGGTGTCGTATTTGAGACTTGCAGTTCTAGTCTGCTCTACAAAATCTACACATGTTGTATTTCACGCTAGCTATCTTGTTCCCAATTTCCATGGATCGACCGTCATACCATCTTGCCTTTTGCTGTCATCGCAAAATACCAGTAAGCTGCGAAATACCAGTGAGCTCAGGGATAGCCGGTATTTTATACTGGTGTAATTGTTGGTTAACTCATCTTCTCTGCGTCTCCTATGCATCTAATCTTCAACCAGATAAAATTATAATTTTAACTTCAATGCACACTAGCTTTACAAACACTTTGTTAATGACGGCAATTGATATGATAAGACTTGTTAGATCCAGAATGCCCTATCTCGAGCTAATATTTGATAACTTTGTCACACAATAGACCATTTCAGACTCCAATATCAATCTTTAGTAGTAAAAACACTTTCAAACATAATGGAACCAGAATCAGAACCCTTGAAGACTCAAAAACCTAAAAAAAAAACGCTAAAAGAAAAATATCAATACCTAAGACAGAATTTTACTATTGAACCAGTGTTAGCATGTTATGTAGTCCCAGTAGTATTGTCTAAACTCGCAACACAAAATCTCAATTTGGACAAAGCTTGTCGGTTGAATTTGAAGTACAGTGATGCAGTCTGCGACGCCCTCATTGCAAGAAAAGGGGATATGTATCAAAACGAAGAAGCAGCAGTTCAAGAACTCGTTGCTGGAATGGAGGCATGGAAGAACGTTATACTTACAGCTTTACCTAGTTTCTTAATTCTGTTTATAGGAGCTTGGAGCGACAGAACTAGAAGAAGGAAAATATGCATTCTTCTGCCAATTGTGGGAGATTTACTTGCATGTGTCAGCGATATTTTTAGTACCTACTTCTTTTACGAGCTACCGCTTGAACTGTGTATGTTTCTAGAAGCTTTCTTTCCAGCTATAACAGGAGGATGGATTACAATGTTTATGGGAGCATTTTGTTATATAAGTGACGTGTCCAGTGAAGAGAGCAGGACATTCAGGGTGGGTGTAGCTAACCTCTGTTTGACAGCGGGTGGTCCAATTGGAACGGCTTTAAGTGGGATATTGTTGGAGAAAATTGGATACTATGGAGTATTTTCCATAAGTTCTCTTTTATGTTTGTTCAGCATTGTCTATGGAATGTATTGTATTAAAGATCCTGAACTACCAAGACCAGAAAATGATGCTGAGGTTTGTATTAATGCTAGATTATTTTGAAACAGATGTTTTCATGCAGCGGTTTCACTTGAACTCCGAATTTATTGTTTACAAAATATTAACTTACAGGACAAAGGATTTCTAAAGACATTTTTCAATCCGAAGCATGTGAAAGATACATTAACAGTTGCTTTTAAAAAGGGACCAAACCGGCGTAGAACTAAGTCTATTTTGGTATTAGCTTCCATTGCATTCATCTATGGACCTTCTTATGGTATGTACAGTGCGCTTTTTACAAACAGATTAGTATGAGTGTGTTACAAAGTTTCGCTTTTCAAGTAAGGTGTCAACAACCTTGAAAATTACCATTACTAACTTAGATTATGAACGTATACTGAACCATAATTGATAATGATACATACATTGGTTGTAAATAGCACATACAATGAAAAACAGCATGCTACAAAGCGATGCATTATCGTAACGCGTAAATTCAACATAGACAGGTTTCAAATTTACAACGTCGAAGATTTTGACGTAATAATGTAATATTCCTGATGCTACGTCAAAATCCGTAGCAACGTGTGTGTAAATAAAGATATAACAACAAATGAATTATTTTCACTCGATATAACAACATTTTATAATTTCAAAGGATATAATCACTCATGGAATATAATCAATATGTGGTATAACAACGAAAGGAATGATAAACTTTCAGTGTAATAACCATTAGAATAGAATAGAATCATTTATTTCATATTATCAATGTCACAACGTTACAATTAAAATACAATGTCAAGGGATAATATGATCGTCACTAACGCAAACAATAATAATTAATATAAAATAAAGTAGTATAACGGCTTGTCTAAATACAATGAAGTAAAGTAAAACAAAATTACATTTATTTAAAAAAAAACTTGTCGACACTGTGGAATTCATTATCCAATAAAAGGAGTTTTAGTCGGGTATTAAACGTTTCATCGTATTAGATGTAACGATTAATCAACATAATGAATTAATGGTACAATAATTAAATACATTAGTTCGTAAAATGTTTAAGAGCTTTTTGGTTAATAATATATAATACTGAATGAATGTTATATCTGAATAAGTAAATTTTTATATTGGACAAGATCACACACGTTGCTTCGATACCAAAGTAAATAACTAAAGCACTTGTGTTATCGAAAACAGAAACAACCACAATCACACCCGAGACAATATAGAAAAGTTAGTATTTTTTTCTACATTGACCCGACCGGGAATCGAACTCAAAGATGGCGACACACGAAAATCGGTGTGCAATCCACCCGAGCAAGAGATCGTCAAAAAAAATGTTTCTATAAAATGTACATTACGCCATGGTATAGTACATTATAAGTTATTATATCAATCGTTTATTATACTTCATGATACTTTATATCACGCAAGAATAGGTCACATAGATACCTTAAATTAATTATATCTTTTGAGCGTTATATCGACTAAAAATATGTCAGTTGTTGTTATATCATATGAACCGTATCCCCGTAGCAACTTGTTCCCGCCTTTATGTAAAAGAAAATTCTCTACCAAGCGCGAACATATAACAATATCCCATGAAATATTATTTTGTGATAAAAAACATCGCGAACATTGATAAGATATCTCATTATTAAACCACGTCGTTTCTCTAAAGACTTGCTCAAAATTGTATATTCAATGTGGCGTGTAATACTCTCATTAAATGTTACTACTGCTTTTGTTTGTTTAAGTACCACCTTACCTCATAATATATATTATCTTACCGGTCTATTACTGTCTGTTTGTTCTCTTATCATATCTCTATTTAATCAATTAGTAAACGTTTTTCAGGTGAGATGACAGTACGGTATTTGTTCAGCCGATACCGGTTCAACTGGGACGCTCTGAAATACAGCTTCTATCAGACTTTTTACACCGTTTTGCATGCAATTGGTAAGAATCGTATCACACAAAGGCTATACATTGCCAAATAACTTTTCAACCAAAGCAATAAGAAACAGATTCCAAAGTTAAACAAGGATGGCGAAATCTGACCCAATAATTATAAAATCGACGAATAGCCGTTCATGGATCTTATTAGCCGCTCACGCGATGCGCTCGTCCTACCGCAAAATGGCGGCTATTTGGTTTCGCAAATCAGAAAAGGATTCAGTTTAAATACAAGTTTTTAAAAATAAAAATTATTATTCTGCTTTGCTAAATAAATACCCTCCGTACTACAATAAAAACATCTCAAACAAAATGCAGTAATACACCGCAAATCCTGCACTTAAAAAGCACTAATGAAATTTTTGGTGTACTTGGGTAAATATGATAATATTCCGTTTGAGTGATTCTAATGTTTACCATGAAATTACTCCTTAAAGTATAGTTTATAAACATTTATATTCAGGGTAAACTTAAAAAACGCAACTTATGGTACGTTTTCAATAAATAAACACCGACATCACCAGCCCAAACAATAACACACACGATTGTCGTGACGTATTTTTGAAGTTGTTTATTTTTTTTAAATGACAGACCCAGGCATTAAAAACTTTATGGTTTGCTAGAGTAGTTACCGGAATAGCAATTAGTATTAGTTCTTTTATCTGTTATAACTTCGATATCCGATAAATCGGTATAAAATCATCACCGGCACGTCTAGGTGTGGTATGCTTCCAGAGACGCATGAATCGCGTGAGCGGCTAGTATAATTTTACGTTGTAGTTTATGCTTAGTTACCAATATATTTATGTATATTTTTAGAAGTCGGGTATAAACAAATTGTAAACAATGTATTTTAGAATAAATGCAAGAACATAACGCAATTGATTCTGTTCGACCATAGATTAGGTAACAACGTTCTTGTACGTACGTTTCATTGTAAGCATGATCATCAAATCATCCGCTTAGACCATTAAAGAAGTTATCATGTCATGTTGGCATCTCGTATAACTAAGTTCGAAATGTACATAATTATTTAAATTCTAGGTGCCTTGGTATCCGTAAGCATCTTTAGCCGCAAATTCCGCTGGGGTGATTCCGTTTTGGGTCTTATTTCCAGCGTCAGTAAGATAGCTGGGGGATTAGCTACTGGGTTGGCTCAGACTAGCTTTCAAATGTATCTAGGTAAGTTGGTAATAATATAATTATTTTTGTTAATCGCAATCTGACAGTATATCCCAGATTATATAAATCAGTTCATTTATTGCAATATTCCTAAAGTGTCAGACCAAATCGAATGTATGAACATGTAGGCTTAGAATAATAACGCATAGAATGATAGTTTCATATCAAACGAACTGTCACAAGTGAGGCAAAAATCAAATTCATGTAGGCTAGTTTTAGTAGTAGGTTAATTTTCGGTTTTAGTGAATATTTATATAAAAATACAAGTTGAAACGCGTTACTTCCTTGTGGAATGTGATGTTAGTATGTATTTTATGTTTGTCTGACGAATTTTTACACTTATTTACAGCACATTTCGTTATTTTTAGCTAAAATTCTTGATCTGTTCGCATTGCAAGTTGACCTTGAGCACTGAAGGCCCGCCCGCTCGTGTAGGCCCATTGGGCGCGCTTCAATTTGCCTCACTTAGCGTGTGCGGACTATGCGTTATTATTCTAAGCATGTAGTTATTTTTAGAACTCAAATATTCTAGAGACAAAATGCCACAATGAAGAAAAGATTATATAAAAGGAAATATATATAAGCATGTACCATCATTTTGTCCTATTTTTCAGCTGTAGTGATCGAGACTTTCAACGCGACATCCTTTACAGCACTACGATCTATCTCCTCTAAATTGGTCAACAGTGATGAATTGGGTAAACTTTCAACGTTCTTATTGTCTTTTAATTTTAATGCCAATCGTTGATTTCTTTTCGAAACATTTTAACTGACTTACCAAAACTTTTCTAATACATGGTGACTTATCCATCATCAATCAGAATCTCTTGATTGTATTAGGAGTTCGTTATTGCAATTATTCTATACCACCACTATATGCCAAATAAAAATTATCAAACAATTAGTTTTAATTTCTTCGATTTCAGGCAAGATGACGTCACTCTTCAATCTGACAGAAGTAGTAACATCGATGATTTTTGGCCCCATATATTCCTGGACGTACATGTTGACTCTGAAATTTGATGCTGGTTTCGTTTATTATGTGAGCACTTGTCTTACCATTGCTCCCATTTTGATATTTGGGTAATTAACTTTTAATTCCGGACTTAAATGTAACCTTTCCGAAACTTACTAGACAAAGTTAACAAGGACCTACTAGAAAATTCCAAACCTCAGAAATTATTTACAACTTAGATTAGATCGCCACAAAATTTGACCTCGATAAGCTTTGTATTTTTAGTGAGGTAAATTATCTCCGAAATGCAGACGTTACAATGTTTACCTTCGCCATAAATACATATCTGTGATTGACACTTGCTTTTGTAGGTGGTTCTTCAAGCAGGATAAAAAGAGTAGAAATAACAAAAAATCGAATGATGGTGAAAGCTGCAAAGATAACAACGACGAAAAGGATCAACGGAAATCCAAGGAGCAGGAAAAAAAAGACCCTGTGATATGCAAAATTGATCTAGCTGATGAAAAGATTATCATAGAGTAATTTTAGTTCAATTGACTTTATTATTTTAGTGATAAATGTAAATTTTAAATTAAACCACAATTTACCGTTCACCGTTTATATTATTTACAGGTTTACCGCTTTTCTTCAAGTCACTCTCTTCTGACTTATTTATGTCATAAAAAATCTATTCCTAGTTAATGCCGTTGTTGTTATAAATTTCGACCATCAGAAGCAAACGCAGAAACCTGTAGATTAGTTTATTTTCGTTACTTTTACAGTTTAAAGACATTTGGTATTTTGCTTTGGAGTGATGCTGCCGATGTCGGAAGAGATTTTTACAAAAACACAGATAAACACGCACACTCATATCATATCCGTACACAGATTACGCGTATAAAGAGAAGTGTTAACGCCTTCAAAACGTATTCTGGAATAGATGAAGCATTAAGATCTATAGAAAATTAACGCAGTCCTGGCGCAAACGAAACTTATCTCAGAACTTTGTTTATATTAAGTACTTAAGTAAATTCTATGCAGTTTTTGATTTCGATTTCAGTGGCTAACATATGAATATTGCCTTTTGTTTGTCGCATAATGTTAGGTCCAAAAAACAAAAGCCTACCAGTTTTGGCTCTCTGTTCTTCAAAAACTTTATAAGGAAAAAAAAGAATCAGGATAGAAATAATATAGCAAAATGAAAAAAAATAAAATTAAAAAAAATTGAAAATTAAAAACAATAATATTTTTTTTTTATATTAAGTATATTTGTTTCGTTTGCACTGGATGACTTTGACAGTTCTCCGTTACAATTATGGTTATACTTAATTGAAAAGGATTTTTTAATCGACCTGCTTCATAATGCAGATAAATATTCTGTCCGGCAGACGCTAAAATCCTATGTGCAGCAGATAAAAATTCTGTCCACAAATGTGCTGGGCGACACGCACGGTCGGGCACGGGCCCGTAACTTAGTAGTCTTGTCGAGACACCTTAATAGAAGCTGAGTACATAATATTAATGTAATAAAGAAATCGTTATAACTATTATCAACCTCAAATACATTCTAAATTGCATACTTATCAAAAATGTCTAACTTCATTTCCGCGTCGCTTTAGTCGTTTCGGTGGCGCAAACTTTCCCAAAATTACTTCTTTATTATTATTCCGTTATATCTTCCGTATTAGCGAAAAAATTATTAAAAATACTGTTAAGACATACGCCTCTACTCAACACTAAACAATACAATTATTTTAAATCAGAGGTTTTCCTTATCAATAATTACTTACGAAATGCTTCATAATTTCCTTGATATTTAATAAGCGTCTACTTAATATAACCAAGATAAAATGATACTTAAAACTTTGATAAACAGTAGCGTCTCAAGCATCAAACGTAACATTGTTATCTTTTTAATTAATTATGACAACAGATAAGATATTTATCTTATTTACCGCGGACTAATATTTGATGTACTACGCCCTAACTTCTAATGTTTCACA